ATGACGCCAGCCATTTGATGGTTTCACGGGTCATTTAAAGTGGATCTAAAGTCCACAATAATTATTTTTCCTTTAATGATACAAGGCCTTTAGTTGGTGCTAGCATCTTCTACCCAGCTTCTTCCAGGTGCTGGGATTAAGTTGTCTTCACTGGTAGGCATAGGATGATGTCCCTCCTGCGTAGGAGTTCAGCCACCACAACATATTCTGTGCCAGAATGTAAACTGAGCTGTACATTGTCTGTCTTTTCCACAATAATGAGCCTGCCTGCCCACGTTTTTTTTTTGTTTAAAGTGATTCTAAGTTTTTTTTAATTTAAATAAAAAAGATGTTATACTTACCTGCTCTGTACAATAGTACTGTACAGACTGATTTCTTGCTGCCTCTTCTGGAGTCCACTGCCAGCTTTGGCAGTTTCTCCTCCTTCCCAAGTGCCCCCTCAGCAAGCCGGCTACTGTGGGGGCACCCATACAAGCGTGTTTCCTAGTTGGGCTGTGTGCATCCATAGACATACATACATAGCTTGGCCATACCTCCTCTCCCTTCAAACAAAATTTGAATGACAGCAGACTGAGCCTATGGCTCCTATTGCTCTCAGAGTCTCCTGCGAGGCCAGGAAGAGAGATTAGTGGTGCTGCATACAGGCAAAGCGTTGGATTAAGAGAGGAGTAAGGTAAGTGTTTATGGATGTGGGGAAGAAAACCAATAGTGAGGTGTGTTTTACCTTAATGCATAGAATGAGCTAACATAAGCACACTAGTTTCTGCACAAGTTATTACTCAAGGCATACCTTTAATATAACCATTTTGGGAAACAGTTAACCACTTGCCTACCGGGCACTTATACCCCCTTATTTACCAGGCCAATTTTCAGCTTTCAGCACTGTTGCACTTTGATTGACAATTGCGCGGTCTTGCAAGATTGTACCCATATGAAATTTTTATCATTTTTTACTCACAAATAGAGCTTTCTTTTGGTGGTATTTAATCGCTGCTGGGCACTTTACTTATTGTGCTATAAGCAAAAAAATTGCAAAAGATTTTGAAAAAAAAAAAAGTTTTTTTGTTTCTATTATAACAGGTAATTTTTCTCCTTCACTGATGTGCGTTGATGAGGCAGCACTGATGGGCACTGATAGGTGGCACTGATGGGCACTGATAGGCAGCACTGAAGGGCACTGATAGGCGGCACTAATGAGGCGGCATGGATAGGCGGCACTGGATAGGCGGCACTAATGAGGTGTCACGGATAGGTGGCACTGATAGGCAACACTGATAATGGGTACTGATACACAGCACTGATAAGTGGCACTGACTGACATCACTGCTGGGCACTGACTGGCGGCACTGCTGGGCACTGACTGGCACAACCGCTGGGCACTGACTGGCAGCACTACTGGGCTGCACTGGTGGATGGCACTGGTGGGCACAGGTGGGTGGGCACAGGTGGGTGGCACTACTGGGCACAGGTAGGTGGCACTTCTGGGCACATGTGGTGACACTGCTGGGTGGCACAGGTGGGCGCACTGCTGGGCACAGGTGGGCGCACTGCTGGGCACAGGTGGGCGGAACTTGTGTGGCACTGCTGGACACCGATCATCAGGGCACTGGTGATCAGTGACCCTGATGATCGGTGCCGATCCCCGCTCTGACAACTGCCGGTTTTCGGCAGTACTTTCCTCACGATCTGACAGCGTGAGGAAAGTGCAGCCGAGAACCGGCACTTGCATTTTCCCGGTGATCAGCGTGTCATGGGACACGGCTGATCACGTGGTAAAAGGCCGCTGTGATTGGCCTTTTACCACGTCACGTGATCAGCTGTGTCCGTAGGACTCAGCGATCACGGAGATCGCCGGGTGCGCGCCCCGGGGGACGCGCAGGAGAGCGCGTTCTGGGAGGACGTCATATGACGTCCACCCAGAACTGGCCGGCCGCAGCGCAGCCGTCATTCGGCTATCTGCGGTCGGCAATTAGTTAAAGTGGTTGTAAACCCTTACATATACCCAGTAAAGTGACTGGCCTCAGGTGATACACAAGAAAAAAAATTAAAAACCGCGAAATGCATAAAAAATGCAGCGAAACCGCATGTGCAAAAACGCAAAACGCACTGCAGAAACGGATCAAACACAAACTGCATAGGTGTGGACCTAGCCTTACTAAATCAACCCGTGTGTCCAGGATAGATGTTCTCTCTGAAACCTTTTTGGAGGATTTTCAAGATATTTGTAGGTACCTTTTTGGTGCCTGCTCAAACGCAGCATGTGTTCAGAGAAAAACAACGTGCATTTCAGTTTGCTATATGTCTGAGATGCATTTACAATGCATTAGCACTGACATGTAGAGGAATAAAGGCAAGGAAACGCGGTGTATGGTAAATGCAGCATTAAACATTTATGGACGCTACACTTTCCAATTCTAATTCAAACACCGCACTCCGGATCCTCCAAAAATGCCTTTCAAACGTATGTCAAAAGGAAGACATAAATACCCATGTACACTATAGCCACATATGTGATCATTTTAATACATTTTGATTGAAATCACAATCCAAGCAAAGAAAGAGCTGCGATTAGAATTAAAAATTGAATCTGGGAGAAAAAAATCAGATTACATTCAAGGAAATTGCTGAAAGGTTTTTTTTTCAATTCAGTCTTTCAATTAAATGTACCAAAGCTATCAATTTGTAGCTCAGTTTTGACTTCACAACCAATCAAAATCTAGGGGTTGATCAATCAAGTGGGTGGAAGACTGCATAGTTTTTAGCAATTATCTGCAATCATGTGTGATTTTCAGATGGTTGAAATTGGCCAGCTTAAAGTGTTGCTAAACCCACAACAGTAAAATCATTCTGTATATGCAGAAAAGCATGCTTGTTATACTCGCTGTGGAACCTAAGGGGTTAAACCTCTGAGTTGTGTAAAAAGGCTGTTTGATCTTGTCTCCCCTTCCTCCACAGTCCCCAATCCATCTGCTAATAGCAAAGAGCCTTGGGGGCAAGCTGCGCATGCTCAGTTTGGTGTGTTTTGCTAGAGAGTTTTTTTTTTACTTGGAAGAGTGCATGTGATCAGCACAGGGTCGATCAGCGCTGTCCAGACAGAGGGTCAGGGGTTATGCAGTCTCATAGGACAATCAGCGGGGAATGAAAACTCCTCTTGCAAGCTGTAACCAGTGCTCTGTGGAGACTGATAGAAGTCAAAAGACTGCTCTAACTGCTGATGAGAAAAGTTATTTAGCAGTTTATATTTACTAAAATAATTGCATTTCCAGGTTGTGTGTACTGTGGGAGACCAGATATAGTGAATGCAGGGTCCTGGGTTTAGTAACACTTTAACTCTCGACTTGTCAACTTCTCTTGCCATGTATTGGGGGTTATTTACTAAGCCGTGGTTCACATATATGCGTCCATGCGGGCCGCGTTTTGCACGGGCACAAGAGCCCATTCATTTGAATGGACTCCCACACCCCGTGACATGCAGGGAAGAAGTCTCTGCACTTCTTTGGAAACTGCAGCCCGCACGGACCTCAGTTCCTAACGTGGTTGCAATTTCCAGTTCTGGCAGCGTGCCATTACAATTAATGGCACCCACCCACGGATCCGCATTCTTTGGGGCTGCACCGATTTTCATGCTGTCCGCAGCGGCACCACCCGCAGATATGTGAACCTAGCCTAAAACTACATGGTTCAAAATCGGGTGCAGCTCTGCATTGAAACTAGCTTCCACATTTTATTGTCAAAGCTTAATTGAACAAGCTGAAGTTGGAAGCTGATTGACTACCATGCACAGCTGCACCAGAATCTGAGTGCTCTAGCTTTAGTAAATCTCCCCCATTGTCTCAGAGCTAGTGCCATTTTAATAAGAAGAAGAAATTCAATCAAGTGGAACTGGAGATGATAAAATTACAATAAAAAAAAGCTTGTGTCTGACATATATAACGAAGGATAGTTTTTAAAACTAACCTCCCTTGTGGCTGCCATGTTCTAACAATCCAGACCCCCGTCATCAATGGTACGCCTCTTATCCATGGATTTAGGGAACCCATATATGAATATGTGTGGTTGGATCATGCCGTAGGCATCAGAGAAATTAATCATGTCACCTGGCACTAGAAATCCTTCTCCAGTATCTAAGTGATACTGAAAATAGTAATGCTTTCATTCAGGTGTGATAGAACTTGGGCACAGGAAGCTCTGAAAGGTGTAGAGATGGCAGCATTTTTCACTGGTGGGAAACAAGCCATTGATGTTTTGTGATCAAAGTGTGAAAAATTACATTTTTGACTAAAGTTCCACTTTAAGGCACATTAGAAACAAAGCGTTTCCAGCAGCTTTATGGTAATAAAGCCTGATAGCTAATGTTCCTAAACAGCTCAGCTTTTGCATGCTCAAGGAGAATACCTGTGCTTTATTTTAGGATAAAGTCCCCAGTTTTCATGTTTACAATAACAAAATAATCTTCGCAACATACCGAAAGTATACTGCTTTAACCACTTGCCCCACTATTGCAACCACTATTTTTGCGCTATAAACAAAAAAGGACCGACAATTTTGAAAAAAAAATATTTTTTACTTTTTGCTATAAAAACATATCCAATAAAAAAAATTGAAAAAAAAATCAAATTTCATCATAAATTTAGGACAAAATGTGAGCGCTCGCCCCTACTCGGAAATGTAAATCACGTGTATATATATATATATACGTGATTTTGTGCAGCCCTGCTGGCGTGTTATAGTAGTTCTACTATAGGTTGGCGGGAAAGTGGTTAAAACAACTTCAGGCAAACAGTCAAATACACAAAAGAAATACATTGCAGGGTCGGACTGACCATTTGGAAACTCGGGCACTGCCTGAGGGCCCGGGGTCAGTAGGGGGCCCCATGAGTTGCCCCTGGTACCTTTTTCATAGGCTTTTTTCAGTTTGGGCAAGGACATAGGGGCCCCATGATCCCCTATTGCCCTGGGGTCCCATGAGTTGTCAGTCCACCCCTGGTACATTGTTTTACCTGTCAAAGTATATGAATTTCTGGGGTTTTTCTGCCCCTATCATACAGCATAGCCAGGAGGATGACACCGGTATAGACTATAGAAATAATATAATACAGTTGAGTCCTCTTTTTAACCTGGTGACCAGACAGTGAAGGAGCAGCAGCAATTCGATGAGGTCATCATTCTGCTCATTCTGCTCTCTCCTATTCGCATGTTCCTTTTCATTTGCATGCATAGCACCTGATTTTCCCCCAGGTCTTTTCCCCCCTCTCCCAAACTCAGTTTTGCAGAAAAGGGGATTGCAAGAGGCTGATTTAGATACTATAAAACAGGGCTTCACAACTAGGGTTCCTCCAGAGGTTGCTAGGGGTTCCTTGAGCAGAGTAATTTCTGCCTCTTAGATACGTTCCCACTGACGCCAAGGATCTATTTAGCTGTCTTTAAGGGGGCAATTCTTCCCAATGCCCAAATCACATGAATACATCATGAGTTGTAGATAAAGTCATTTTTAGCAAGGGTTCCCCGAGACTTGAAAATTTTTGCAAGGGTTCCTCTGTGTTGCAAAAGTTGAGAAAGGCTTCTATAAAACATGGTCAAAGGGTAGAAATGTTATCTGCAAAACAACGGTACCACAACATTAAAACACAAATACATTTATGGAGCCTGACCATGGCTTGGAATGGGAGCTCAATGTGAGGGCTCCCAACTCCCAAGCACCTCCAGTGTCCTGCCGAGAAGGGGAGAGATGTGTGGGAAGCCCTGGAGAGACTAACCGGAGAGAGGGGGACTTGCCTGGCGGGGTACGTTGGCCGAGGACCTAGGGAGTGGTGGCCATCTTGGCGGGTCTTCCGGTGCTCTCAGCCCGGCGCTGTGTGTTCCCCAGAGCTCAGTGGATGCCAGGCGCTCAGGTGATCTGCCGCAAGGAAACTCTGGGAGGCAGAGGAGCTGGCCGGCATTTCTTGGAGTAAGGGAGACATCGGCTCTCTTCCTCCTGCACACAAGACCGTGACAGCTGGAGACACGCGGAAAAGGGCTGGGTGAACCCCCCCTGCAATCCACTCATTGTGCGAGGGGAATATTGAGTGCAATGTTTCCCAGAAGAGAGTACCTGTAGCTGCCTTACCCCTCACTTTGAGTAAAGGAAGAGTTGTCCTAAAGTGCGGGAAAGTCTCTCAGAGAAGCTCAATCCAATAGAAACCAGAGATCTCACATGGGGGAGAAGTATTCCTTATTCGAGCGTGGAAAATGTCTTTCATGTAAGTCCTCTTTTTATATATACCAGTGATAATACAAGAGGGAGCAGCCATACCCTTGTTCAGAGTGCGGGAAATGTTTTTCACCGAGATCCAGTCTGCATATATATCTGAGACCTCACATGAAGAAGATGCTATATCCCTGTTCTAAGTGCGGGAAATGCTTTCTCAGACAAAACTAGACTTTACATATATCAGAGATCTAACACAGATGAAAAGCCATATGTCTGTCCTGAGTGCGGGAAATACTTTTCAGTGAAGCTTAATCTTCACACACATCAGAGATCTTACATGGGGAGAAGTTGCATTCCTGTCCGGAGTGCAGGAAATGATTTTCATGTGAGTCCTATTTTTACATATGCCAGTGATAACACAAGAGGGAGCAGCTATACCCTTGTTCAGAGTGCGGGAAATCTTTTTCACAGAAGTCCAGCCTGCATGTATATCAGAGACCTCACATGAGGAAGATGCTATATCCCTGTTCTAAGTGCGGGAAATTTTTTTCAGATAAGTATAGACTTTATATATATCAGAGATCTTACACAGGTGAAAAGCCATATGTCTGTCCTGAGTGCGGGAAATACTTTTCAGTGAAGCTTAGTCTTCACACACATCAGAGATCTTACAAGGAGGAGAAGTTGTATACCTGTTCGGAGTGCGGGAAATGTTTTTCAGAGAAGCCTTTTCTTCATATATGAGATTAATATATTGCATGGGAACTGAACTGTATGTATTGAACTATATGTTTAAAGTGAGGAGGGGTTCACCCAGGGGGTCTTAGAGGAAAATCAGAAGGAGGACAATATAAAACTGATAAAGACCTAAAAGAAGAGGATCCAGGTAGATGAGTTCGGAGGTGGGAGGAGAGAAAAAAGGAAGAAAAAAAACTGAAAGGGCGATACCCATGGAAGACAACAAATTTTGCTATCAAATCAAAAATAGCCCCCCCCCCCCCCAAACCAAAACTACGGAAAATTGAAATAGTCCCTGACAGCATGAAAAACAAAGTATCAAAGGGAGGAGGAACTAAGGCTTCCCAAACAGGGTCAATTAAAAAATATATACCCTTACAGGAAAAACAGACTTCAGAGAGACAACAGGGAATAAGTGGTAAGAGGTGAGAGGGAAAATGGCGGGAGCGTTCCAGACTATCCCTAGGAATAGCTAACAGTAGTCAACATATGGAAGAAGAAGTGGATATGGATGAAGTAGAACAAGAGGAGAGCTCACAGATGCCTACTAAAGCAGAAATGTTTAAAGGACTCGAAAGATCCCTAAAACAGGAATTGGCGAAATTACACAAAGACCTGGGGAAAATATTTTCAAGGGTGGAGGAGACGAAAGAAAAACTAGATAAACATGCCCAAATTATACAGAAATTAGAAAAACAGGCGATGAAAATGAGAAAAGAACAAAGAAATCTAAAAATATAAATATAAATTGGAAGACCAGGAGAATAGAGATGGAAGATGCAATCTAAGGATACAAGGCTTTCCAGAGATCTCCCAAGGAGAAGATTTGACGGGAATAATAATAATAAGAATGCTGAACACTATAATGGATAGAACTATTACAGAGCCTCTTAAAAAGGAGGGAGTATATAGAATAGGAAAATATGTACAAGAAGATAGGAAGGAAAAGCCAAGAGATGTAATAGTGCAATTCCATAATTTTCGGGATAAATAAGCGATATGGAAGAAGATAAAAGGAAGAGCAATAATAAAATATGGAGAAATAAATATACAGATCTTTGCTGATTTAGCAGCGGAAACATTATTAAGAAGGAGAACTTTAAAATCATTATTGGAACAGATGAGAAAACAGAATGTTCGATATAGCTGGGGGTTTCCTGCATGTTTGATCGGATGGAGGAATGGACATTCAGCAAGACTGAGATTCCCCGAAGATCTGAGAGACTTCTGTGAGAGACCCAAATGTTATATACCATTATGAACATCTCATTCCACCATCATCTCATCCTACAGTCTATCAATATTCAGCTACATGGCAGTGGTTCACACATGTTGGCAAACTCTATTTACAATTCACCTTCCCTTATATTTTTTATTTTATTTTGTTTTATATATGTGTGTATGTATGTATGTATGTATGTATATATGTTTATTATTTTTTTTTTTTTTTTTCGCTTTCTCATCATATACCACCTATGACCTTCCTAAAAGTGTAAGTGTTTACACATTTATTATAATTATTATGTTTTTATAATACAGTTCTATCATTCATCATTTAACTATAATACAGTTCTTAATCATCATTAATTATTATATATATTATTATTATAAAAGGTTTTTTTTTTTTTTTGTTGTTAAATTTTGATGCTAACGGGTCATGTGATGTCAGCTCCGCCTTCGGGTGGTTCTGATACAGCCCTTTTGTTACCATTTTAGTAACTTATATAAAGAGAAGTGCAGACTCCTGTAGTGTTGGCTCTGAGGAAGAGGTTGTGTCCTCGAAACGCATTAGTAAGTTGGTCATCCAGGGTTCCATCGTATGGACTCAGATGTTGTTTGGATCATACATCTTGTTCAGTTTGACATGCCTGTGTTAATATGTCCATTGTGAGTATGATACCTATTTTGTTTCTTCAATAAATTATTTTAAACAATAATGCACTAGGTCGGTGCGCCCTTTTTCTGTTTCTCTTTTTCTCTGTTTTCTCTCATTTGTATCCAGTGTATTTGGACCACCCCGGTCTGTTGAGGGCAGCAAGCAGTGCATATTCCAGAAAATTCCAGAACATTCCTTTTGGGTCTACTGAGTCCTTTCCTAGCGCAGGAGTAAAGTGTTTGTTGTACAGAAAATAAATATCCCTGGTTGGGAGGAAGAAGGAGAAATGTGGGCTAAGGAAAATGAGGGGTGGCAGGTAGCTCTAAGGAGCAATAGAGAGTAGGAATAGTAAAGCGGAATAAAATGGGAGGGGTGGGGGGGGGGTTCTCTCCTTTTTTTTACTCTCTCTCTCTCCCTCCATTTCTGCCTCTCTCTTATGATTTTTGAAGTTTACACGGAGGAGGAGACAAGCTTATTGGGGAAATGTTCATGGTCAGAGTTTCACCTAAAAGCGGAATCAAAGGTGGGGTTTGGACCACAAATGATTCATAGGAAAACTTTAAGCCTAAAGGGAGATGGGGGGGGGGGGGGGGGGGAGAGGAGTTGGAGGGAGGAAGAAGGAGTGGAGGAGATGGGATGGTGGATGGGTGGGGGGGGGGGGAAAGGGGAAGGGTATGGGGGGGGGGGGGGGAGTTGGCAACCCGAGATTATGCAGGAAAATAGGAGTCATATTATTCTGGAGAAATCATGGAGAACGAAGAAGGTATAGGGAAGAGAGGGAGAGTAAGGGGACAGGAGAAGAAGGATGAGAGGAGGTGAGAAAAAAAAAAATAGAAGAGATTCACTTTGTGACTTATAATATCAAAGGTTTAAATAGCCCAGGGAAGAGATTTAAGATATGTAAAGAAATTCAGCATAGACTCTCTTCAGTGGTATTCCTACAAGAGACACACCTTGTACAAGAAACAAATGTGAAGCTACAATCCAGATATTATGCAGAGTGGTATTATGCAGACTCTCCAATTAAATGTGCAAAGGGAGTGGCAATAGGATTTGCAAAAAATATAAGGTTTAAGTTGGAAGAGAGATTGGTAGATCCGAAAGGGAGATTCCTTTTCTTGAAAGGAAAACTACAGGAAACAGAATGTACATTAGCAAACATTTATTAAGATCAAAAAATGTGGCGCTACTCATAGAACTTAAAAAATACTAATCAAAAAAATTATTTTAAAAAATATATATAAACACATACAATACACCTCGTGAAATAAATATACATATAATAATCAAGTGGTCATAGTGATCAGAAAATATATATTAAACTAATATCATAAAAAACATAGTGTATAAATACTGTATATTAACAATCTTTGTGACAATTTCTAACACATGAAAGCAATAAATAATTATAATAATAAAACTGTGATCAATCATGCAAATAAAGTGCAAAAAATGTCACACTAAAACACAAACGAAAAATAAAAAATGTGTAGACAAATGTCCAATGGGTGGGTGACACCACTACTGCAATTGCAAGCACACGTGATCATAAAGTGACTCCAGGTGCAGAAACTCCAACACACGGCTAGATTAGCCTCTCACCTCCAGGCTTCGACCCGTGAAGGTCAAAGCGTATAGTGGGATCAAACCCTCAAATCCTCTCAGCATCTACTGATATCCACTGATCCACTTTCCCCATCCATAGATATCCTTCTCTAGGGGTCGATAATCAAGCAGTGGCTCCTCTTATGGGATATATATATATATATATATATATAAATATAAATAATATATAAATAATATGTCTACCACATACCACATATATTAAAAAATAAATTACTTAAAAATACTAACATTTAAAAAGAATTTTACACAAATTAAATAAATATATATATATATATATATATATATATATATATATATATATATATATATATATATATATATAATATATATATATATAATAAATTACTCCATTAATTAATTCACAATCATCTTTTAATGAAAAAAAAAAAAAAAAAAAAAAAAAAAAAATTGAAATGAACCTGCTCTACAAAGGAAGAATACTTCTTAAAAACTATATCATTATTTCAAAAAATAAAAAATTAATACCTCACGTTACATTAATAAATGGGTTTTTATTAATCCTTGTAAAGAACTATCCCCCCTAAATTTAGCTAAATGGCAAACCATGAAGACAACCTCCAAAAGCAATGGGTATACAAATATAATCGTTCTTAAAATCATTATATAAATAACACCTAATACATATATATAACCAATATACATATAGATACATATATATATAAAAAAAAAAATCTAAAAAATAATATATGTATAATTTGTTAAAAAAAGTTTATTCAACAAACACCCCAAAAACATTTTTTAAAAATACTTATAATTATGACCGGACAGACTTTATATTTTTTATTTAAAACTCAATATTTTTAAGATTTCCACTAAAAACATTTATTACTGAACTCTTCTTACATAAAAGACTACTTTTAAGTGGCGGTATTAATAATAATCTGCAAGAAAGCAATTCACATCAAATTTTATATTTAAGCCTTTAGGTACCTGCGTTTCCATAATATATATCCATTTAGACTCCATTTTACTGAGAGATCGCACCTTATGGCTCCCCCTCCAATGCTTCTTTACTTAACAATTCCCCAAAATTTTAAAAATTTTTTTTCACTATTGTGATACTTAGCAAAGTGTCTAGAGACACTATGTTTGGGAAAACGTTTCTTTTATATTCTGCACATGTTCCCGCAGTCTGACCCAAAGGGGTCTTTTTGTTTTTCCTATGTATTGCAGTTTTATTAAGCACACTGCAATTTATAAACCACTCCCTCTGTTCTACAGGAGATGAATTCATACAATATACTAAACACTTTTCTATTTTTTTGAGACTTAAAACTATTTCTTTTCAAATTCTTTCCTTTTGTGGCCTTACAGGCATAACAACCCTTACAGGGGAAGAAGCCATTCAAATCTAAAAAAGTCATTTTCTTATTTTTACTTTATTTTCAAGAACACTTTTAACTATTTATCTCTTAGAGAAGGGGCCTTTCTATATTTAAAAATAGGGAATTCAGACAATAAATCTCTTAAAACTGGATCAGCT